TTTGGGTTTCTGATATATCTGCCGATGACATAGTGACTCCTCTCTGCATCTGTTTTCCCTCGCCGTTCCTTTGTCTTCCTTCCCTTTATCTGTCTCCAAATAGTCTTAGCTAAAGTTGTAGCGATTTGCGCTTCGCTTGTGGATGCCTTCCGTTGGACTGCGGAAGAGTGAATTGCAAACGCTGCCCCGGTGGCACAGCTAATTGCAGGTGCAGCTGGCCAGTCCGCATTGAACAGTGTATGCACACCTGAGGGAGTTTAGGCACTGTTGCTGACGCAAAAAGTAGGCGAAACGAAGAGCAGCAACAGGTGAAGTGTCCTGGCGTGTACAGTAGCATGCATGGATCCATGGCGGTCTTTGCCAAGGGGAAGAAATGAAGGGAACGCAGACAGAAAGACGGCAAGCTCAGATGGCTATGCAGCTTAAAACGCATGCGTATCAAGCATATATCTATGGGTTTAGAGCTTCTTGGCCTTCTTCTCCTTCTCTTTCTTCACAGGGGTAGGGGCAGGGATAACCATTGCGGCCTTCGGTTGCACCTGTTTGCAGATAGTTTCATACTTCGTCTCCTTGCACGGGTACTGCTGGGGTTTCATGCCCTGGCTGTAGCATGTCTTGCTGATGACCTGCTGCTGCATGTGGCACTGTTCTTTGTACTCCGTGCGGGTGCAGGGGTATGCCTCTTTGCCTTTAACTTTTCTGTAGCAGACTTGCGGTTGTGAGACCTTCTCACAAACCCTCTCGTTGCATTCGAACGCGACGTCACGTGAGACCTTCCTCTTGCAGACTTTGGGCACCATTTTGCATTCTTTAGATTTGACTTCTTTGCTACAATCGTACGGCACCTCCTCGGTGAAGCTCCGAGAGCAAGTGTCCTCATAAGGTACCTCCTCGACATGGCATTCCTGTTTCATCTTTGTTTCCATGCAAGGATACGCCTTCTTCTGGGTGTGGAACCGAGGGCACATCGGGATCTTGACGCAGTTAGGCACATCTATCTTCTTCATGCACGGATACGGTTCCATTACGGGAACCTCCCTAAAGCAAGTGCTGGGCACCTCAACTTCCCTGTCTACGCATACTTCTCCCATCTTCTTCTTTTTGCATGGGACCGGCTGCTTGGAGGAGACAAGCTGATAGCAGACTGCCTCGACGTTCTCCTCAACGTCTTTGCACACCTCTTGCTTCACCTTCTTTTCACATTCGTAATACTCGGTTTTGTCACCTTTCTTCTTCTCGCACGTCGCGGGAACACTGACGTTCTCCATCTTGCACTTCTGGGTCATCTGTTTTTTCTTGCATTTGTAAGGCTTCTGTTCCTCCACTATCTCCTCACACATTTCTGTCACCTTCTGAGGCACAACTTCGCAGTCCCTGCGTTTTTCTCTTTTCGTGCATGGGTACTCCTGCTGGGCCATTACCTGTTTCTCGCAGGTGGTCTCAACCTCCTGCATCCCCATGGTGCATTTCTCCTCGAAGCTCACTGCTGCAGCCTCCTCTTTGCCTTTGCAGGGGACCAGCTCTTGCTGGCTTTCCTCGCGGAAGCAAGTGCTCTCATACTCTTGGGGAACCTCCTGACAAACCTTCTGCTTCTTGTGCTTCATGCACGGGTAATTCTCCTTAGAGTTCTTCTTTTTAAAACAAGTCTGAGGAATCCTCTTGACAACGGTCTCACACTGCTCCTCTTCGCAGCCGTACTCCTCCTGCTCGGTGATGGTCTTGAAGCACTGTTTAGGCACCATTTTGCACTCTTCCTTCTTCACCTCTTTCTTGCAATCGTAGGCCTCCAAGGCGTTTGTGGGCTTGTAGCAGGTGTCAGCAACCTCCACTGGTACCTTATCGCACACCTGTTTCTCGACTACCTGAGGGCAGACGTATGCCTCCTTGAAGGGAACATTTTCGAAGCAAACTGAGTCCACTTGGACTGGAATTGTCTGGCAAATCTCCTGTGGAGGAGGAGGCCCTTTGGATTTGGAATACATAGGAGTTCCTTTCCCGTCGCTAACTGGATGCATGAAGGCTGCAGAAACCGTCTCAACCGTGAAAACCGCCGCGGAGGCGGCGAGCGCCGCCAACATAAGGCGGGTCATTGTGTACGTGTATACGAGGTGATAAATCGGTTACAAACCCCAAAATTATACCTGTTAACAAAAAGTGAAGGCAATTGCTCTTTTCCGGAGAAAAATGCAGCTCCACAGTTGCCCACTTCCAGTCCGCTGCCGCCGACAGGTGACCGTCTCGGCGGGGGGCGCCGGAAGGTGACCGCGTCTATCAACAACCGCTCCTTGCCTTTCTCCGCCGAATGTCTATAATGACGCATCTAAACTTTTCAAATCCCGGTGAATACCATTTTAAACGAAATACCTTTTTACTACAGATATAATTCACCCCTGCAAAGCCTATAGAACGATCCTAACCGCAACTGCTTGCCACTCAACAGTCAGAAGAAGCATCCCACAGCTCACACGGGTCCTCCCCAAGGAGAACCAGTTGTACCAAGTTTCGACAACTTTACTTTGGAGTCACTTTGTAGCAGCTAGGAGTACCCATGCGCGTGCCCTGACGATGCGTGATGTACGACCGAACCCAGCTCCATATCTTCTAATAGCTATCCAATCTAGTATAGTAGTAAAGCGACACGCTGGAACGCTACACCGTTCGTGCCGACCCATACAGCTCTTCCGCCTATAATCCCCCACACAAAAGACCTTTACCGTAGAAGCGACAGCAAACGATGCCACCAATCACACTACAAATGCAATAAGTTTGCTGGGCATGTAACATGTCAGGTCCCCACCGCCAGGCCTTCACGGAAGCCTTCTAAACCAGAAGGGTGGAAAGCCAACCCCTTTCTCTTGAACTTTGCTGCTTCTATTCCGAAGCTCGGCTGCTGATGAAGCACATACGTCCAGAATTTTGTTCGAGAGGATATCGTGCTGGTGTACGGCATGAGCGCTCGGCGACAGGCACGAATGCGAAAGATATCTTCTTACGATACAAAGTAATAAACAAATCGTATACACAAGGGCAGGAAGGAAGTTCAGGTTGCTCACACACACACACACACACACACACACATACACACACAGATATATATATATATATATATATATATATATATATATATATATATATATATATATATGGAAGCAATGAAGGGGATATGCGACGGAATACCAGGGCAGTGCGTGCCCTTGCATGGAATCATATGCCAAAATGCCGTTTTATGTGTAACTAAGTAGCCGCAAAAATGTTAAACAGTCGGCAGTTCAGGACGCATCGTCCCAGGAAAATGATGCCACAAGTTCTATCACTGCGCACTGCGCATGCCAGGCTCAGTGGAGTTACCGCCAAGCCAAGGTAAAAATGTGTTCAGACCCACGAAAGCTCATCGATTTGAATAGCGCGATAGGCTTTTCGCTTTCTGCAGTGGTCTGCTCTCACTGATTAAATTACATGCGATGCTGAATTTGCCAAGGTTCCATGGTGTCAGCTACCAGCTTTGGTCATCGGAGGCTCGTTTAAACCACCGAGCAGCATAACCACAAACATGATATTGAAGCAACCAGTGCATGTCTGGGAGGCGATACTTCTGGTGCTATCAAGCGCTTTGAACAGCAGGTTTTGGGGTGGAGCCCTGACTTGTCGTCGTAGCGGCCTTAGCTGGAGGAAGGGCAGAATTGATTGCTGTTGTCGGTTGAGCAGCTGCAGGAGCCGACTTGTCTGAAGACGGAGTCGCCTCTGGGTTGCGTGGGACGACAGTATTCGGTTTCTTAGCCTGGCGGCGGCAGTAAGTGACCTTTCGAGTTGGAGTGTCACGATGGGTCTTGGTGTAATCGATTGCTAGGCGGCGAATAAATGGCCCAATATTATCAAATCCGTTGCCGTAAAGACTGAGCTTCAACAGACCAGGACAGCGACTTATTAAGACATCCAGCAAATTTTTCATGCAGTCCACAGATATAGAGTTTGTTTGGAGTTCCAAGGCGGTGATAAAGGGGAACCGCTTGGGTTCAGTTGCTATCTGTTTGGTCAAGGCTTCAGCAAATGTATCCCCAAGGCCGCATGCATTGAGACACAAATTCTGAACCCGGCACTCCAGGAGCTTGAAGACAAAGCCTGCGGTTGCTTCAGTATTTCCGAGCGGATTTCCGTCTAGCACCAAGCAAGCGCAGTTCTTTGCGCTGCCACAGAAGGCAATTACGTTGGACATGTCACCTTGAGGTGTTATATTGTTGAATGACAGATCAAGGAGAGTGAGTTCACTTTTGCAGAAAGCAACTTCTGGGAAGTTCTGTAACGCCTCAACGTCCAATTCCATATTGCTCATATCGACACTTTTGAGACGGAAATCTGTCGAAACTGCCTTAAACAAGCGAGCAAACTGTCCTGGGGCCAACCGGCGACCACCCAGTTCAAGGCTTCGTCTGAAACAGCTACTGCAGTACTGGCCCACGCCAGGGTGGAGCGCCTCATTGGAACTCCTCCCAATGCTGTCACACGCTACACCTGCTTGTCTGCATCACACATATATAGGCATAAAATTTGTCAGACGTTTCACAACAGAGCAAAACCACTTATCAAACCACGCCACTGCTTCGTTGCCGAGATGTTCGGGCTATTTTGCACTCTACACCAGTACCGTTTCGCTTTTACAATGCTGAAGAGGTCAAATGCAATAAGCTTCCGCATATCAGCTCACCTGATTCTAAGCACTCTAAACCATTCCCGTATGTAATCTTCAGACTCTCCCTGGAGCACCCAAGTCTCAGAACTGTCCCTGGATACCAAGTCGCTCGAGAGAATCTTTTTGCCTTTCACAGTAAGCCTTGAAGCTGTTAATGAAACAGACGTTAAGAAGATGCCCTCCAGTCCGTCCCCAAAAGAACGAGCAAGGGTTCCGAGTGGCGCCCCAGGTGGGCGTTTGCTTGCCGTGGCAGCGTTTGGTTTGGGTCTTGGCGGAGTGGAATACCGCAGAAGAGCTGGGCCCCTGACCTCAAAGAATGCCAGAAAAAGAGTTGTGGTTGCCAGCTTCCCGGGAGGGCTCGAGGCATGCCTATCGACTTCGACAAACAGCCTACCGCTAAATACGGCAGGCAACGACAGGCACCTTTCTGGCAATTCCATTTCGTTTAGCGAGCGGAAAGGAAAACATGGATGGTCCCTAGAGAGCTGCGCCGTTCGCATCTGTGGCACTTCTTTGAGAACGTTTTGCAGTGTTTCGGTGCCAAGTGCAGGTATGTTGGGAAGGCACAGGACCTTGAAGCGGGGCAGTGTTTTGACCACAGCTGCAGCAAGCGCCTTCAAGCCCTCCACCGATATATCGTTTTCTCCAACGTTAACCATCTTGGGCACGAGGCCCGGCTGCATGGAGTTCTCCAGCTCCCTGGCGATGAGATGACAGTCCTCGTCCACAATGGCTGTGCGCCTCAAGTCCAGACATACAGGATCTGGTTCTGCCATGAGATTTGCAATACCCTGGGCTGCCGTTGAATCTCCAGCAACGTTGTTCTCTGCAAGGCAAAGGTGAGAAACTCTTAGTTTACTGCAGAGGCAACCCAGCCATGCCAGCACGGTGGAGCCAAACAAGTTCGCCGTCAGATCCAGCGTTCTCACTCTGCATGCAACGTTCTGCAAGGATGCTTCTAGACCTTCTGCGTCCATGCCTCTCCACCCGCAGCACAAAGAATCCAAATAGGACACCTTCAAGGAAGCAAAAATAGCCTTGTCTACTTCCTTGTGATAGGGCACGCCTTGAAGTACAATTTCTCTGGGGCCAGGACTCCAAAGACTTGCCACAACTGGAAGCATGGGTGTCTTAGAGGCATCCATACATGCAGAAAGATAGCGATAGAATGCCTTGCGCCCATTGAAAACCGTTAGCCACTCCGCTGTTTCGGTGTCTGTGTCCGCACTGAGAAACCCACTGAAATACGCTTTATCACGCAAAGCGAGCTGCTCCCTGGTGAAGGATGCTAAATCTGCTTCCGATGGAGGAGCTGTTGTATCTTGAACAATGCGCGCGTTTATTTTGATGGCTTTGTATGGTGCGGCGGAACCGCCGCCCATCATGTCGACATCCTGTACTTCTCCAGTGTTATCCAAAGCGACAGCACATAGGTATTTCCACTCTTGGGGGGACACTTCAGATGCCTCAGAAGTTTTTGCCTTGCTACAGATAGCAGAGAAATTAAATAACCTCTTCTTAGGGACATGTTCCGGTGAACAGTAAACCAGAATTACGGGTCCTCTTGCTTCCAACATAAGGAACATCCGAATCTGCTCTTTCAGCCCACTGGCTCTACTTCGCATGGCTGGCAATACACGAGTCCCAAACTTGCGTGGATGCAGCGTAGTCGCTTGGCTGCTCTCTAAAAGCATCCTGCCGCAGTAGTCGACGGGGAGCTTCAACCATTCTTGCAGAGACTCAGGGACGGCCTGATACTCCAAGGCAGAGTATTCGGAACGTTGGAAGATGGGATGTTCTGTGGACTCGTAGCTACTCACTGAGCCCGACGAAATCGTGCCGTCATAGCTGCTGATTTGGCTATCTGCTTCTTCGTCCGCACTTTGATCATCCTCGTCTTGACTCTCCTCTTCGTCCTCCTCTCCCGGACTCTCGTCTTCATCTTCTTCCGGGACTTCGATGCCTCTTCCTTCTATGACCTTCGCCAGCATGCCTGCTGCCCCCCTTTGTTGCGTTTTCAGCATTTCCCTGACTCGCTCTTTTCTTTTTTCGTCTTCGACTTGTTCGTCTGTTTTCCATGTTGGTTGCTCAGTGTCCGGTGAGGGGGCTAGTGCCTCCCGACGTCCCTGAGCGCCAAGCCGCAACAGCGTTCACAAAAATGCTTATCCTGAACCAGTATACACTGTGCAAGTTGCGCAGCGGTCTCGGGTCCAGAAGATGTTTCACGTATAGAGTTTATTCCCTGATAAACGTCATTTGAAGTGAACAAGCAGACAGAACACACATACCGTTTTCAAATGAGCTTCCGCCTTCTTCTTGCGTCCTGTGAGTTCAGCTATTTGCTTTTTGATGCGCTTCATCTCTTCTATGTCTTCTGCATTCCCCATCTTCCGGAGCTTTCGGTAAGCCTTCTTAAGCTGTTCAACGGTTTGTGCCTGCTCAACAGTTTCTGAGGGCTGTTCTTGTGTTGTCTCTATAGCTCCTGCCGGTTCAGCAGGCGCGCCGTCAGGCTGCGGCTGCTGTTGTTCTACGTTGGCCGCAGCAGCCTGCTCCCGCTCATGGCCTTCTCGTAAACGCTTTGCAATCTCGGCATCTTCCGCTTCCCGGCGTTTTCGAAGTTCCTCTTCTTCGTGCTCCTTCGCCTCCCTAAGGGCCTCTGTCATGCACGGTACACACGTACAATATTGCTACATAAATTGCTCTAGCCTGCTGCCACCCTTCTTCCACTTGAGCAGCAACTAGCAGCTACGGGACCCCTGTTCGAACTGTCGCAAGTGCCATCACTTACTTTGGAGGTCAAATATGGAACGCTTCTGTTTGTTGGCGAGGATCGCCTGGCGGACGTCCTCCAGATTTGCCTCTTTAATGTAATAACCGGGTGAAATTTCGTTTGCCGGATATTTCCACTTGTTTAGGAGTTCATTCTGTCTCTCCGCGAATAGTGGGTCTCTGGCGTGGATCGGTTCATTCACAATCATCTTGAGGTGCAGCTTATCGTCTTCCCATGGGTTCCTGTAATCTAACTTGTGTGTCTGGCGTTGGAGTGCAACAAATCCACCAGCCACAAGCTCCTCAACGTTCCTAATTTCTTTCCCACTCATGTTTGCAAGCGCAACTTCCGTGATTTGGGAAGCCCCCGACCGCGGATCCGTAGGCATTGCCTGAACTATTGAACAAGCGTCCGACTCTTTCGGGATGGCATGCAGAACTGCTGCGGCAGGTGGCACTGACATTCGGCTATCTCGAGATTTTGATAGGCGGGAAACAAACGCAGGGACTGCAGCAGGGTAGTCGTTGTTGTTCGCATCATGAGGGTACCCTGTGGTGGGCAGGAAGTTTCGTGTCAGCTCATCCAAAGTCGGGGTTGCGTCGACAAGGTCTTCCGGTGGTGTAGGCGTGCTGTGATATACCTCATAGGACGGTTTATCCATAGGATCAATGACAGTGTCATGAATGTGTTCAACTGCTTCTTCTTCACTTACAAAAGACTCTTCGTCCACGTCTGAAGACGCGGGCAGGAGAGACCGTGAGAGACAAACAAGATCTGCTTTTGGCATGGATTGGGGGGAGCGAACGCGTGGTCTTCCCCTAAGTGCCCGTAGTCCTTGCATACCTTTTGAGCATTTAAGAGATATCGGTTCTTCCGTCGGCTGCGGCAAATAAAGGGTGGAACCGGCTTTATGCTGTCCTGAACGGTTTCCCTCTACCCCCGGTTTGCTTCCGCCCCTCTGGTTCCTGCGGATCTCTACAGCCTCGATGTCTTTTAACAAGCGAGAAGGGCGAGTTATCTCTTTAGGCGCAACAGTCGAGTTGCGAGGCTTGGGCTCGACTGAAGAAAACTTTGTGTCGCCACTCAGAGTTCTCAACTTTAAAGAACACCGTGATATGAGCTCGTTCACGAACGTATCACCGGTAGACTCGTGGGTACCCTTCAACAGCCCATCAGATGCTGACCCCGGCACGACGCCGCTAACGTCTGCTCGTTTTTGAGTCTCATGAGATTGGTTCGCGTGCTGGATCTGATGGAGACGTTCCGTTAGTTGCTCTAGCTCGCCCTCGGCGTAGTTCGTTCCACTGGAACTCATCTGCTGCGGTGAAGAAGAGCTTGGTAAATCAAATGTAACCTTCTTGCCGCTCGTTTGCGCTGCCCTCTCGGTTTTCGTAGGTGGCTCAGCCGGAACTACCGCCTCTCCTTCTGCCTTCTTTGCTCTCGTTTTCTCCCAGTGCTGCTGCTCCCTCCATTGCATGTCAGTAGGCTGCTGGAGTTGCTGTATCGCCCCCCTTTTGAACCCTGGTCTCACCGCTTCAAGCATGAGATTTTCAACGACCGAGTCTTGAGAAAGCTGTTCGAACGACTTAAAAAGGGCTTTTTCCTGGATGTCTACTACATTCTCCACTGGGATTCCTCCTGGATAGACTGTTATGTCTTCCGGTGTGTACTGCATTGCCGCTCTTGGTGCTGTTTTAACTTGCTGCTCAGACAGCGATATAGGGCGTGGGGGGACCATCGGAAGTCCCGAAGGATCCGGCGGTAACGATCTTGTGTTGCTGTTCGTAGTTCCCAACGGCTCCTTCGGCTTGAACTTTAAGGCGGTTTGACCCTTTCCAGCGTCACTAAAAAGGGGAGGATCGTGCCAGAGACCAGATAAAGGCAATTCCTCAGATGCCGGAAAGAAACGGTATTTTTCAGATGTTCCTTCCACTCTCACAAAGGGAGCTGTGAGCTGTTCCGTCTCTCCAGCAAGAAGGCGTACGTCGCTGGCATTCAACCGAGAGATCAACTGCCTTGGAAGGGTATCACCCCCGAGGAAAGTTTCTGCAACTGGGTGTCTTCTGGCACTGCAAACGCGCACCAATGAAAGCACAAAAGGAACGGAATGGGGGAGCGAGGCACGCAGCCCAAGACGGCGGAACAAGCTCGATCAATAACTCTAGCACTACGCGTATCTCAAACGATTTGAAAAAGCTCTAGAGGCAAGGAGAAACGGAAGAGCCAAACAAAACCTGGCCGACGGAAGAAGAACCCACGCGATGGTGGATGGATTTGTAGGGTGCCAAAATTCCGGTTCTGTCTCTTGTGTGGCTGGCGGTGTAGGAAGTGTATACGTGATCTCCTGGCGGAGTGGAGGAAACACTTCTGCTTCATCTCTCTCTAAAAACACAGCATGTACATCTATAGGCGAGTGTAGAATTTAGGGTGAGTGGAGGGGCTTTTGTTCGCTAGATTCATATGCCTGGAAGCCACGTATGCAGGGTGACAGCCCACTGACCTGTGAGCAAGCTGAGATCTCGCAGGCGGTCGAATTTTGTGGGTGAGTTCCAACTCCCCTGTAGCAAGTGGCCAGTTCCATCTACAGGGAAATTAGATTGGGCAGTGGAGTTCTCTTGCGGCATTGTCGCTGCAACGCACAGATATCGTCAGCGGCAGGCCGGTCTAGTGGCCATAAACCCTAAGTGTTTGGCCCTTAAGGAGGAGGACTAGCAGACACAGTGACAGAACAGACTAAACAGAAAACAATGAATACACTTTTGTCTACAAACGTTCGTGCGCGGTCCCACTGGCTGCAGCACGGGGGTCGACCTTGACTCTCGTAGTCGTCCGCCGAAATGCCTCTGAAAGCAAAACACAAAGTCAGGCTAGAGGGGCCGACATTATGGTCTCAACGACAAAACAAAGAAATTGCAGGCGCGCGCTGCATGCATTCCTCTCAACAGAGTTCCAAGTGGGCATTTGCCGGCACCCCCCACCTGCGTACTGTTGCATTGTACCACCTCCCTTTAGGGAGCGACCAACTAGGGTTGAGTCCTGAGAGTCCATCTTCACGATAAGGAACTAAGAGGAAAGAAGGGAACGGATATTTCAATGACTTTCGTCTACTACGGCCCCAACCGCCGCCAGCAACCGTGAGTCAACGACTGGCGTGCAGAAACCATGCTGGGCTTCCTCCCCGTCCCCTCCTTGACGGCACCCGAAAGAATAGACAAATATAAATAAGATGTTGAAACTTCAATAGGAACGGACGGTGCAATGCTTTCAGAGGAAATCACGACTCCCAAGTAGCCGCCCGCCCACCGTTTGGTTTTGTTTCAAATGGCAGGTAGACAGCGGTTATGTTGCGAGCCATAACTGCAGCATACTCATTGTCTACAGCTAATTAAACCAAAATTGAGAAGGGGAGGATGTTTTAGACGAGTTAGACACAGGCTGCTCCTGTGCTCGTGAGTAGTTACAGGGGCTGGACCATTCGTCAAGCCTCGCGCTCAGCATGCGGTCGCATATGTGAGGTCGCTCTGCTTCTGCTAGTACTCTGTTTGATTTTGCGAAGCTTCAGTCTCCGAACAGTTCATATCTCAGCATCCAGCTGATGATCTCGCGTTCACTCATAAAGGCACATCTTGCTGCTTCTTTGATCAGTGGCCTATATTCCTCCTGTGCTGTGGTGGATCCGAGCCCTAAGCGTACGAACGCCCGCGAAGTGGTACACTTACACGACGGATGGGGCAGTGGTATTTGAAAAGTACACCTTAAAGGGCACAAGGCAATAATAAATAAACAATAGCGTCAAAGAAACACAGTGGAGATGCATTCAATCTCCATGTGCAGTGTCTTCAAGCCAAAAGGGGCCTCTGCAAACCCCACGTGGCCCGTATTCGTCGAGCTTGGGGAGCAGCTAGCCCTCAGACTGCAACACTCTACACTTTCCGCTTCTGAGACGGTAACATATAAGAGCTACCGTTGTGTCTAGTGAGCTTCCTGCCGGAAACGATAAAATTCCTCTTCTATCACAGGCATCCAACTGCTGCACCAGCTTGGGAGAACACATTGGAGCAGTGTTCTCCGGACGATCGATATCGAATGCTTCAAAAATAACTCGATGCCGCAGTAAGGAGGCACACAGCTGTGCCTTGGCGGGAGCTGCTACATGCAAATTATATTATTCCATAGGTGTTTGTTGAAGATGGTCTTCATTCAAGTGACGGTTGCTAACTTTTCATAGTGATCGCCACGATATTTTCAGCAGGCATTTCATAAAACAAAAACAAGTACACAGACCGATGTGATTGCTGGCAACTGCTGTCCCACCAGTGAACAATGGATTGATACATGTGACGTAACGTTGTCGGCGAAACAGCAGCTCCCGAGCGATTACTTGCACAAAGCCTCCTCAGTTACGGAGGAAGTTGGCCGCAGCTGTCTCAATGAGACATTTGTTGACGCATCGCTGATGGTTGAATGGGTTCCGCAGTGGGGGCCGACTTCAGAAGACGACGATTCCGAAAGTGCCACCTGGACAAACTCGCGAAGCCTATTGTAGTAACTTTGACCCCCGACTTCCCACGTGTCGTTGTGATCTCCATTTTCAACGTCCTCTCGCATCTTTATGCGAGCACCGCATGTCTGTCAGACGCAAATCAAGCAATCCGCACATACCGTTCAGACGTGTTTGTTACAAAGAAAGCAAGCAATCACGGACCCACCCCGCGACCAACAGTGCCAATGCGCCAGGCAGCAGATAGTGATACAAAACGAAATTAAGAAGCAACCTTGACCAATATATGTATCAATAAGCTGCCCCAAACAAGAGTGTGACCGAACTAGGTGCGGAATTACGCTGTATAGCACGTCCATGTGCGACGGAGGGACGAGTGTATCTCGGCGCCCCGAAATGAATAAAACAGGTAGAACCAATGTGCGAACTTTCTCGTCGTTTAACATGTACATCCGCTGCAACACAAACACAAGCAGAGCGCCCTGCACACATTTCTACCGCTCCCTTTTATGTGAAGCAGCACGGCGCACTCACAAAGGGTGCCTAGGATACCTAAAACAGCGACAACAGTTTTGATTTCCGAAGCATCCCCCCTAGCGACAGCTGCGGCATAAGAAACTGAGTGCCCAACCTCCCAGTGAAGTACGATTCAAAAGTTTTGCGAACTAATTCTGTGGAAGCAAGGGGCAGAAAATCGAATTCACCTGCACGGCCTTCACCAGCAGGTTGAATGGGCTCAAGAAAGGGAAGACAATGTAGAGCATCTCCAGCAGCGACGTAAACGTGTTCTCCACCACGATGCCCTTCAGCTGCGGGAAAATTGACGTAGATGCAGGGGCAGTGGATCAGCTAGCTAGTGCAACCATGGACAGACAGAAGCGCATTCGCAACTACTGTCTAGATAATGGCTGTGCAGCTCCAGCACGCTTATATCCACAATGCCTTGAGCAGCAAATGGCAAGCTTAACATGAGCAACAACCCAGCACAGTGCTCAGAGCACGTCGTTATACTCGTGCATAAAAGCTAAGAACTTTGTACCTCATTGCTTCTGCGTTTCGCGAGTTCTATTGCCACCGCACCCCCAATGCTGCGACCGAAGACAAAAATATCCTTGTTGTTGACAGTCCCATTTTCCAAAATGAAATCCAAGGCCGCCTCCGCGTCCGTATAAACGCCTTCCTCGGTGGGTGAACCTTCACTGTAACCATACCTACAAGCAAAAGCATACCACTCAGGCGGAGAAAAACATGATGTGCGACGGATAAGAAAATAGTGGGGTAACGCTAGTTGGTACGCTATTTCCCGTTCAAGAAACCTAGGCCTCTGCACATGAATTTGCGCTCACCCTCTATATGACACGATCAGTATATTTACGCCAACCATGCGGAACATCAGCTCCAAGTTGGGAAGACGAAATCCGATGTCTGCAAACACGTTGAGATAAACAAAAAGGACTAAACTTTGGAATCTGGAGTGCACAATGGGGATGAAAACGTTCATTGAAAAAAGATGAAAGCGCGAATCCATTCGGAACTCCCAGAACACTCAAGTGGTGAAGCAGCTAAATAATATGGAACGAGTTCGGCACAACGGAGCGTTTGTCACCAGCGTATAAAGGACGTGGGTCAGCGGATAAGTTCGCTTACTGCCGGCATTCCCGTGGAAGTAAAGGAAGGTGGGTACCTTCAGAGCGTTTGGCTGACGCAGAAGCCAACCATGAAGGGTCAAGCCGTCGCTGGTTCTAATGTAGACATCGTCAAACGGCAAATCTGCAGCGCACGCAAACATCCTAGAAACAGGCAAGCCCTGAAAAAGGCGGAGAAAGAAGGTTCCAGTTTCGCCTGCAAGTCTCACTTCTTTCTCCCGGATGATGTAGCCCCTTTGGGTTTTTATCTGGCGTCTCATAGCCTTTAGGAACTGCATGCACGAACACAGCACAAGTGCTGCTGCAAACAGAACTGCGGATCTCCGCCGGACAAGAAAACTCTCACTGCGGAGAGTTCCCCAATTGTTCAAATGATGACTACTTCTAGCGAAGGGCAAGCGGGTGCACTTTCAGTACTTGCAGGGTAGAAGACGAGCTTTTCTTGGAAGAACCACAGCACGCCTGCATGCGCACACCCGTTGAAACAATACTGACACCGCCAGCTTACCCACAATCGCGTCATTCAAGGTGATAAATCACGCTATACAGACTTTTACTAGACGCAGCACTGTGATAGCAACGATGGGCAGACATGAGGCACTAAGCTTACCAACAACAGCCGACAGGAGGAAGCCGCCGACCCAGGCCGCGCGGGTGAGAATGGCGGCCAGGCTCCACCAGGAGGACATCTGGGGTTCTGCTACTTGAAAACGCGCACCCGCTTCACTGATATGTGCTGCAGCATACCGTTGTTCCCTCTCCCTTTAACTTCCTCAACCGCGGTCCCTTTGAACCCGCTGGTTGCCGGATGATTTTTCTGAGGGGCCACCGTGTGCTAGTCCAGACTTGTGGTTGTTTCTGATGGGGGCACCGCCGCTTTTTTTGGTTGCGCAAACAATAAAATGACACGACTGTTGCAGCCGGCGCTGAGGGGCGTTCGCGTAGTGCATGTGACACGCACGCGTTGCGCGTGGAAACGGGACCCCCTCAGTTCCAAAGCAGCCTTACGTCTACCGCATCCCTTTTGGAGCACATATGAACAAATGCACAGTGACAACTCCGAAGTTAAAATAGCCGCCTGTGCCCCTGGACCTCAGAAACCTCAAGGGATTGCATGGCGTCGCATAATTGCTCGTCTTAATATGTTGGACACTGTAGTAGTTATCTAATTAATCAGATGCCCCTGGGCTAACATAATAAACAATTTAACTCGTTGCGGTGTCCTCCTGCTCTGCTTTGGTATGGGAGCCTGGAAGTGGCGGCTGCCCCATGTCCCCTTCGGTCTCCCGCGTTTGAACACCGCAGCCACTCACTGACTGCATTGCATGGAAGCGCTCTTCTTCATATCTCCGTTATTTTCCGCAATACATTGGTCACACTTCTTGAATTCAAAATGTTTTTCGTTAACCAAAGGGACGAATTAGTTGGTCATACGGCTATTTCCAGGCAACCTCCCACGACGATGTCCCTTGGCGGGTGTGAGCGATGATGCCTGCAGGAAACCTCCTATCAAACCAGGTGCATGCTTTGCTTATTCGTTGCGTGGAGATCTACAGAATTCGTTCCTAGTTCAGATTTTGCTCAGACATGTACCCAACCCCTGAGGCTATGGTTGACATGTGAGTGAACAGGAACACTGTGCCGGTGTGGGTGGATCTGCGAGTAATATTTGCTGATGGGGCGGCGCATCCATTAGAGAACAGGCTTACGGATGCATGTGGGGCTTCTTCCGCGGCACGGGTTGCAGAATAGTGTGTAGCATTATCTTTGTGAAGTTGGCCTGTGCCTTCATGTTTGAGTGCAGGCTGGCAGTTGAGGGCCGAGTAAGTGCTGAGCAGTTGTCTAGAGAGTGGGTGGATGCAGCAGTAGCGGCGTGGTTGTGCATCCATGGGGAGTTGCATTGCACGGCTGGTTGCAGCAAGACGCGTTGCAATTCGTATCAGGTCAACTCCTCTTCAGGCCCACGCACTTGAGGCGTCGGTCCCAGGCCGGCTGGTGACTGTGTGGGGGTTAGCTGCTTTTGGGAAACTAGTATCTTAAGTAGTCAAACGCAGGTCCAGATAGCAGGACAATCGGGAGTTGCAATGTAGTTTGACGCCGCTCCGGATATGACGGGGGCCACGATGCAGAGGCAGTGGGAAAGATTCTTGTTTCTCTCGACCTGCGTATCTTAGTCTTCAAAATGCCTCCACACATCCACAACTGTTATTGGCTTCTTCTCTGTTAGAAGGGGCGTAGGACGATGGTGATTGCATCTAAGCGAGGGTACTGCCCACCCAGAATGCCTCTGAGTTATGGAGCATTCTTGCGTGACGATGTAGGTTTATCCTCAGGTTGGCAAAGGAAGAAGCCATGGCAGAATTGAACGAGCTACAACGACGGAAACTGTCGATAGAGCGATACATCGAGAAGCATGAGCCCTTGTTGAACAGAAGTCCAATGATGGACTCCCTCCCCTTATTTAAATGAAGTTTGAACAGCTGTATATATAACGGTAGCTTTCTGGCCTTAATCAAGGACAAAAGCGTGCTCCAATGAAGGTAAAGACTTCTCCGGTCCCCAGGCACCTTGGCCGTTGAGCTCAGGCCATGGGTGTTGCGGGGAGGAGGCCGCCAAACTGTAGTTGCAGCGCACCTGGCTGCGTCTGGCGACGCAAGCACGCCAGCCGCACGACTGCGCACAAGGAAGCTGCAACACAGCTTCCTTTACTGCATGTTTCACCTCTGTACCCGCTGATGGAGCGTTTGTATTCACTTCCACGCAGTCTGCCAACGCCACGTGAATGCTCCTGCGCAAAATGTAGGCAGACCACGCTACACTCGTCGACTTCGGCAAACACTTCTTTCCTAACAGCAGATGCCAGCGACACAGCAGTTGGGGTGATGGATATTCAGCAAGCCAATTACTCGAAAAAGCAGCGGATAGTTGCAAGCTAACCACTTCCCTTCGCAGGAATGAGGCAGAGGCATCTGCTACCTGAGAAGGAGCCCTAAACGGTCTGGATGGATGTAGAAAGCGTCGAAATTAGCTGTATGGCTGCCACTTTACTGTCCAAAGAGATAATCAATCCCTGACACCTGGCGAAGAGTCTCCAGCAGAATTTAAAAGTGTCTTGATTTCCTTCCTTGCGGAGACTTATTTTATAATACAACAGCGCACTCTTCAACACATTGTTCTCCAACATCCCGGGTTTACACCGACACACCGTTGCCTGAACTGACGTTAGATCTGGCTATCGGAAGCCAGTTCCACACGCCCGCATACACAGCTTGCAGCAGCCCGCATATGCATGAAGAAAGCGGGAAAACGGCAAGCAAGAACCTACGACAAGCGGCGCTCTTCAGTCACTTTCAAGCCAGACGAGCTTTCTAGTGGACCTCCCTTCCACCTCCCAATGCTCGCAGTGGGATGGAAAGCCAAAGAAGTCAGTCTACCGTAGAGTAAGAGATTTTACTATTCGTTCGCGAGCTAATACGATGGCCTACATCGTTGGTTTACCTCCAGCATGGAGATCTCGCCACATTATTAATATTGGTTGCCTGAAGTGGCTTAAAGAATCACCAAAACCTTTGCGCGCTTTCCAGGCAAAAGAGCAGCAACGCCATAGAGGAACGATACAGCTGGAAGACACTAAGATCGTTGACGCCCGTATTGCAAGCCGGAAGGGCCAAAGAAAAACAAGTGTGTGTGAGAAAAACACACACGATACTGTGTGAATTTGTCAGGGGACCGACACCTACAGTGAATTTCTGAGGGCCAGCAGCGCAGACCAATCCACCAGGAATATTTGCGTGCATTCTTCTATTTTACGACAGGCACAGCTAGCGCATCCCCGTAGCAGCTTAATTTGGGGTCTTGGGTTATTTTTTGAGAAGCTAAGCCAGTGTCACGAATGAAGATGAGCCTAGAGCTTTTCAATCCATGCGGTCTACCCAGGTAACTACTTTTTGCACGTTATCTCCGTCTCCTTTCCTGCTTCTAGACTGTTCTGCGCTACTGCCGAGAGCAACCTTGTGTTTCCCCTCTCTGCGGCTGTCATTCACCGTCCGGAACTTGCCGGATAGCCTTTCACCACTGCCAAGACAGCTGTTCGGGGATATCCGGGATCGTCTGCGAATTTGCCGCATGTACCTATCAGTTGCAAATCTCCAGGGACACGCTAAAACCAGTCATAAGGTTATTTGGGGTCTCGCAGTCCACCTACTCCCCGTTGCTCCGTAGCACCGACAGCAGCAACAGCAACAACAGCGAGTCGTGCTGGTGTCCCGGTGTGGAGCATTGCGGATGTTTCTATACCAGCAACAGTGAAAGCATCAGCCACAGCAGTGGCAGTATCATCATCAGCAGCGGCAACAGGCTTCACAACGGCAACAGCCAAAACAGCTACTGCTTGATGATGGCCACCGCCTCACGGATGCCTCTCTGCAACTTGCCCTGAACCGCAATAAGCGCACTCTGCACCCCTTCCAGCCCAATCGCTCTCTGACTGCTGCCCTGACGTGGAGGCTGGTCACTGATGATCAAATAAATGTTCAACAACCGTCTATAGTATTATTGCACGTAGCAACCTTGCTTTGTTGTGCATGCATGTGAAGTTGCGTTCCAGAACACCAGGGTGCACTACAACCCATATCAGGCCGCTTTTTCTTTACCGGCTCCAGACCGTTGGGCTGCTGTTCCCTTGCTGTCTCGTGAATGGAAAGGATGTCAGCTGGAAACGATTACCTTATGTATTTCAATTCATTTGCAGCTTACAACTGATCCCAGATCAGATCGAGGGCTCGCAACATTCCTTGAGTCAACTCTGCTATATTCTAAGTTTATATTAATGGCCAGGTGTTGCCACCGATACTTAGCACCAGCATCGAAGTGGCACCATATCGGAAGCTACGACGAGGAGTTGCAACCTCCCTGTCCATTCCTGGATACACCCCTCGCAGCTCCGCTTCACGGTGGCCAAAAACAGCATGAACTTCAGTAAGACTATGGGAGTGAAAGGAGAAGGCAATTTAGAAATGGGGTATATTAACTTGATACGGAACACTCACGGTGGACATCTTCATCAGTAAATTATCATACACATCTCATACGTGAAGCGGTCAAGCGTGCGAATTCGGGTTCTAGAGGACACAACTGAAGTCTGTGATTGTAGAAGCAGTGGGAGAGTTCGGTTCCTGGCTCTTTCAACAGGATTTGAATCTTGCGTTGTCAGAGTAGTGAAGTCAGCGTCCCAGGAGGAAACAACCGAAGGCAACCTTCTCACATATGTTGGAGACCAAGGGGGCTCTTGGTTCCACGCTGGCGGCCTAGCGCGGCGAACCGAAGTCACCACTTGAGAAGAATCAAACTTTGTGTTAAAGACACAGGTTGTACCCGCATCCTCAAAACTCACTCGAGCCGCAGCTGTATGAGTTGCTGAAGGACGTTGAAGCTCATCTGTCTGCTAGCGCGATTGTGCGCAATCCAGGCTCAGGGGCAACGACTACTCAGGCCTGGAGCTGTGTAAACGGGTATCAGCGAACTGGACGTGTTATTAATCAGTCCTTCAATATGCAATTATTGGCATACCAAGGTACTTACTGACATCACTATTGACACTCCTGCTCTAACGGGAAAACCAAGAGGCGTGCGCTTCAAATATAATGGTATCTTTGAAATATAGCTGATGGAAGTAGTGCTAGTGAAGCTTCGGATCATCTCAGAATTAGAACCGCGTTACAGTGGTGTTCCTTCCCTGGATGAGATTCCATGGAAGACATTCCATGCTGGCAGTAATGATATCTACTTTCGCAACCTGAACGCTACCCTTGGCAGACAGCTGAGTTGATGCCCCATTCTGGTACGTCATGCTGCAATTGCACAACATGCCAAAAATTGTGCCTAGTGGAGGTCTCCATTTTGGTTTTTGTTTCTACTTCCCAAGGTGTGCAACTCAGGACAGCTGCATGACTGTGAACGTTGCACACTACAAGCTGCACTTCTTCATCTTCCTACCTCACTCTTCGGCTTCGACGGGACGCGAATTACTCGATGCCAACAAATGCAATAGAGACTCTGTCCCCGCAGTGCTCAGCGGTTGCACTTCAAGAAAGCGGCAGTGATGAACTGCTGCAAACCGCCGGCACTCTGCCGCAGCTTTAGCCCAGAGTCCCCCTTGTCCACCCTGCGGTGTAAAACAGTGCGCATTTTCGCAGCTGCGATCGTTGCAGGGAGAGAGAGGGATCAGTGAGGGCAATTTGAACTGCGTTGCCAGGGTGGCTGCTGGTAATTGACGGAATTGCTAGACGAGCTGTGAAGGCATATTGATGCGGACAACTCGCGCAAAACTTGAGTATCACCTTGCTTATTCACGTACTGCTGCAACGAGAAACAATGCGGGATGGTGGTTGGGCTGGAGATGAGCCTGAGCTGACTGCAGCAGTCTCTGTAGCTGCTCCAATTGTTCTGGCAAACAAGTACTGTCTGCATCGAGGACAAGTAGTATTGCATGACTTTCTGAGCACAGGTCTGCTCGAAGTTCCGAGAAAACCTCGTTGGTGCTGAGTGCCCACAGTGTCATGCGTGCCTCTGAGCCACTGAAACACATAAACAGCCCTCGTGATAACTGGAGTTCAGGCTGTCCAGGAAGTGTTTAACTGCCATCTGGCGGGCCGTTTCAAGCACTCCTCCGCACGCCTCCAGCAGTTCCCGGTGCATTAGATAGTCCTCACTTGTGCTGAAGGCGACGAAGTCCCCAGTCTACACCAATAGGTTCTCGTAAGGCAGATATAGGTGGAATTGTTCCTCGTAGAAGTGTGCAAAATAGGGACATTGTGGCCTTTGGACTAGGTCCCAAGAGGGATATCTTGCGATGAAGACAGTGCGGTCGAGCATGTCGGATGCCGCTAGATTTTCGTTGCACAGTGTCATCATTAGCCAAGGCGTGATCAGCTGAGTAATAGGAGACATCCATTTTGCTTTTGGAGAGCTGATGATGCTGGACAGTCCGTCTACGGGAAGGTCAGTACTGCGTGAGAGCGGCACTAATAAGGCTCTATGCAAATATAGGGAGTCCTAGGATTATTTGCAGAACGTTATGAGATGCATTTCTGCCCGCTGGCTGCAACCGTAATCAGGCCAGATGAATTCGTGAAGCCTCGGAGACTGATGAAGTAAATACCAGCACCTCGGGGAGTGGGAAAAAACATTAGACAAGTGAGAAATGCATCATAATTCAATTGGTAACGCTGAATTCGAACAGAAGGACTGTGTCTCGCTGGAGAGATCCATGCTCTGTTCAGCCGCCGTGCTGATCCCTCGCACCGTTGCGAGCCGTGCTCCTCTCACGACAGGTACAACAGCATATAACTCCTTCAATGAAGTGCAAGTGTGTAAATTCTATAGATTTTTGTGAAATTGCGTATATTCATGCCCTGGAAGGGCGCTGGGGCCAGAGCGGCAAGCAGCCATCAAACGACCGTTCTTATACCTGTGGCAAGAATTCTAGTTCATCTATGTTCAATACAGTAAAAATAATTTGCGAGCCGTGTAATGTAAAAGAAATACACAAAGTGCACTATCTCGTGGCCACCGTAGGTAGCTGACCAGAGGTGAAGACCCCGGATAGCCGCTTGGTTGGCTACCAGGTCACCTCGAAACGCGCGATGAGCAATATCGAATATATCGACCGTAACTGAAGGCGACAGCAGCTCAGAAGTCTACGAAAGTACGTACCTGGTAATTTTCAAATTATTTACACCATTTTTGTTTGGTTATCCACAGAGAAATAAGGAGACTGCGTGGCTGTGGAGACAGCCGACAAAAAGCGCAGCAGTTTGGTCGAGGTCCTGGCCCCACGCCTTGCTCGATGCAGTCGTCGGTTACAAACCAGCAAGCGCAAGGAGGACTTTCGCATATTTAGGTTGAACAACATTTTCTTGTATATTGTCTGGACAATGAGTAGATCAAGGCATTCGCAAGGTCCCCAATGGGCCGGCGACCGCGTCTCTCGGCGTGGTCTGTTGACGGCGTTTCGGCTTGTTCTTCTTGCGTTCGCCTTGTTTGCCCCCCTCCGTTCTTCTCTTTCAGCACCGATTTCCGGAGAGACTGCAGGCAGCAGCCAAATGAGTATCGACCTGACGCCATCGCGTAAGACAAGTGAAATCGTCGCACAGAGCTTGACGCTACTGAGTATCAACTGGGCTTACCCAGGAAACCGCAGCAGGCTTCCCCTATATGTCCCATGAATTTCCGCGTTTTCGCCTTTTATGTTTCCTCTCAGTGATTTCAGAGCTAAACGGCACCCTAACTACCCTCTGGCCGCAGCTTGTGCGCAAAGGAGAGGCGGTGGAGCTATCGGAGGTCAAAGCAGCGGAGCTCGTGGACGCAGCCCTTAGCAGATTGCGCGCCTCTGGAAGAACAGTACCCAGGAGCTTGCGTACCCTGACGATGTGGCACTTGACATGTTAGTTGATTCAAGCGACTACGAGCCCCATGATTAAGCCAATCAGCAATGTAGGAGCCGGACTAACTGAGACCGTCAGTGAGCTTTGCCTCTTGCTTATTCATTTGCATTGCGTGCGAATCGATGCATCTTCAGCGTGTTTTTCTCTCGATGGCGGGGCGCTTCGAGGCATCAACGGTATGTTTGGCGCAGCAAGCAAAATCCTGTGTCCCAACGGGAGCACATTTTCCTGCGTGCTGGCAGCTCTTGGAATTCCTGCCTCGGTCGAAGAACAAAACGAAACACAACAACTCGAAGCTTCCGTCTTAGGTCAGTATGGATATCCACGAACGTAGGAGGAGGTATTCAAGCGCAGTGCGTGTCAACCTGGGGGGAGCGTTGCAGCTTTTACCCGTAGCCGTCGTGATTTCCCTCTCTTTTCCCTCCGAAAGCGAATGCCTACGTACGCTAAGCAAATTTGCGCGGTCTTGGCTTGCGTTCAGCTGCGGCGTTTCGGCATATTGGGCATGATGCGGCTGCAAATGCGGCATCATCGAGGGGCACTGGCTTGGGCCCAGAAGCAGTGCGACAGCTTGCAGTGGAGGAGACAAGAATTTCATCAACGGACCCAGAAACTCAAGCCCTTTTTGTTGAGGGTGCTCGCTCTCAACTGGACTTGCAGAAAGGCTTCCGAGGCCTTCAGTGGGTGCGCTTCGGCCGGTTCCACAGACTTTCATCAGCTTTCAGCCTTGCGCAACGTAAGCCAACCTTGAGTTCTCTCTCGATCAAACCGTTGAAAAAGTCCGTATCTTTGTACTTATTTTATAAGCAGTATGGTGGCATACGACTTCTTCAAAGTGCACAACATATATAGCATGCAGTGGCCCTTGTTCTACCCGACTTTTAGGGCAAAACCATTAAGCATTGTCATACGCATTTTATAGGGTTGTTCTACAAACCTGACGAAGCCGAAAGCTCTTCAGAAGGCGCGGGAGAGACCCCCATGCAAGGATCTATGGGGGAGGTAGTGGAACTTGTTTTCTGCGTGGCTAGAAATGCTTGCCTTGGAATTAATGAACCAGGGTTCCAGCGCACGGTGGACAAATGCATTGGGTTGGTTGGCAAAAGCAAGAAATTATCGCCTTTGGATCTTTTTTTCCGAAGCACCACTACGAGAAAGCAAAGCAGCCTCGCAGCTCAAGTCTTTGGAAGTACGTCAGTATTCCTTGGAAGTTCACTGCCTCTACAACTTATCGCTTGTTTTGTACTATATACTCCCAGTTTCCTTGTGTTGTTCGATCTTTTCAGCCGCGATTTTAGTCCTCCACTCAGTCGAAACCGCCAGACTCGGCGCTTCTGAAGGAGCCGACACCCAGGGTGTGCTGCAGCAGAGCGTTCCTCTTTCTCCTTTACAGCAAGCAGTAGCTAATTCTGTTGCAACCTGTTCAACCGAAGTGATGAATTCACTCGAAAGCCACTTGCAAGCTCTTGGAGGCCTCGAAGCAATAAGCGTTAGTGAGTTTCCGTGTCTGCGCTGGCGCATGGATGCATGCACTGCGAAATACAGCTGTTGCGTTTGTCGACAACGCGAATGTTCAGCTTCATTTGGTTTTCATTCGGTTTCATTTACTAGGGTGATTCTGAATAGTCCAGCAGCCACACGGCAAATTCCTAGGGAATATCCCTTGTATTGAATCTCTCTTTTGTCTCAGATCCAGTACTGTTCGCCTCCATCGCTATCGAGAACGCTCCGTTGCTCTTCGCGTTAAACGGTGTTCCACAACCAGAGTCCCTTTCATCGGAGTACGAGACACTGCGTCAATCCGGAACAAAGTGTACGGTTTCTACACGATGCACTGCTGTATCAAAGTGTTAGGCACGGGATCTTTGGTTGCTTTATATGCCGTGTTAATCACTTCAGGGGGGGGGGGGGNGGGGGGGGGGGGTAAAAGTGAATGAGCAACGTTAAATAAATCCACGGGGAAACACCAATATTGGTGTCGTGCCGTGCAAAGAGCGTGATGAGCTGCTGTGCTGTATGCGGGTCGGTGCATTTCTGTTTCAGTCGGCTTAGCAGTCGTACGCGGGGCTTCAAAGATGATAAGCACAGCATGTGGGAGAGAGAGGAGATGCGCGCAACCTAGCAATTCATACCTTAGCTGTGTATCGAAGAGTCTTGAAAGTGTCGCTTGGCCTGCCCTTAGATTACTGCTGCAGCAGCACGTGCACGCATTAGCTTATTTCGTAGAGAAGCCCGACATACTGCCTGAAGGACCACAACTTTCAGACGCTTTGCAAGAGTTCACCTCATCAGCTTCAAAGCTGTCTGAAACACTTCGAGCAGCTGCTGCTGTCGCTAATGGAGCCTTAGATCTCAGCGCTCCGAGCAGCCCTACTACCATTCGGCTGCTCGATGCCTTGCAAAACTTCGAAAGGCAGATCGATGATAACCTACTCCCGGTTGGGATGTCCTTCCTTGAAGACGGAGATTTTTCCTTGTATGGACCTGCGATTCATGAACGAATAGTATCTACAACGGAAGAGACATGTAAGTATTATAGAACAGCGTGTGAGTTCCGTGATTGTAGCTCCTTGATCCAGTCGTATGGCATTGCACCTCGCATTTTCTCGTGAATTTCTTCGGTGTGGTTCGTCCATTTTTCAGGCTCCGCCACTCCACCCGCAGGAGACAGGAGCGCCTTCAAATCATTTGTAATCATGCAAAGGCTTGAGGGACATTTAGAACAAATTACTGGGAACGAAACCTTGCAGCGAGTGTATATGGGTACCGCCAATAAAACAGGGCTTTCTGCTCGGGCAGTTGAATCCAGTAAGCGTTCTGAAAATCCTAAAAAAAGAGCCCTTCTTGGTAACTGTGTGCTAGCAAGTGGTGGATGTTTTCATATTGCCAAATCGGCTGTTGGCTCCTAGACGTGCGTTTGCTTTGTGTGTCTCAGCCTTCGTAAGAACGCAAGCACGCCAACTCTTTATCTTTATACAATCGTTGCTAGACAATCCGTCAGAAGAGATCCAAAAACGCTTCAGCACAACCGAAGGGCTGCAAGCCTATATCACAGAATATTTAGCAGGAAAAGTAGGACCGCGGGAGCAACCACTCGAAGAAGCCGGGTTTGGAGCAACCAAGTACTCGGGTGAAACTATCGCCTTGGCAAATGCAGTCCTCAAAGAATTACAGAGTAAGTGAGAAAAGCTAACAGGCAAACATCAAACGCAAGAATGGAGACTAGTTCTGTGCTGGCTAGCATGCTCTGGCAACACGTTCATATGACACTCAAACTCTTCTGTAATTTGCGTTGCGCTCAAGGGACCTTTGCAAAGCTCATAGCTTCCAGCGCTTCCTTTCAAAAGGCACAGCGGACGGCGGGAATGAGCGTCAGGAGATGGATCAGAGAAGAATTCTCTGACTTTCGCGGGGAGATACATGCCTCATATCTCATCGATGCAGCGTACGGTGGGTTACTTACGCCAATACTTGCCATCATACACTCCCCTGTTAATAGATGCCTGCAGCAGTTGCGGCTACTTTTCAGTGGATTCCGTAGAGTGTTCAACAAGAAGAACAGTGATTTCCAGCTGCGCACCGCTGCGTCTGCTCCGTGTTGTCAATTTGTCTTGCAGGATGTCTACAACAATGCACGGGACCCCTGCTTGCGGACAAGCGATTGCAAACCCAGTGCACAGGTTCACAGGGGGGCCCACAGCCACTGGGAAAATGTGCTGATCCTGCTGAACAGTTTCAACGGATAGTGAGTAAGGAGTTGTGGGAACGATTTTTGGTAGATTGGCTTAAGCAGGGTAAGGCCGCCACTGCCTGCTCAGAGCTTGTGGAGCTCGAGGAAGAGGACAGTCAAGCATGGCAACGTCAGGTTTATCTCATGGTCTCCCATCTTGATACGAGTGAGTAGGGCAGTGTTACCCGCTCTGATGCGCAGTTCACTTAGATATTGCTAAGTCACTGGCACTGTCAACGCATTTACCTAGAATTACTCTTCGCCTTACCTAGAACATGGAATGACAGCATTTTCGAACGCAGTTCTATCTAGCTAGGGACTTAGCACTCTATGAGATAAAGTATGAGCTTGTCCGATGCAGTTGGTTGTGGTAAAGATCATCGTGGATTTGACTCCTTTGGACGCTACTCTATCAAGTTGGAGATGATTCAGCACCTGTACGACATGTTTGCCAGTACCGCACAAAGACCGACGCTGGAAAATTTTATCAACTGGCTGGTCAAGCTACGGGAGCCTCTACCACAGGACCTTCAGACGCCCACAGCTTTAGCCCTTCAATACGCTGGCGGGCATCCGCAGACTCAAGTGCGCGTGAGTAAAGCTTTCAACATGGCAGTAAAAGGGGACCCATTTTATTCACAGTGCAAGGCTGAAGACACGAAGATTATCTCGGAGTTAATTGGTTCACTTGGCAGCGTTTTTTATACATTGGAAGCTTTCGAGGACTTCATCAAGGAGCGACGTTCTCAGGAAGAAACTGTCACTCGGCAAGTGACTGCGCCACTGGGTGAGCTAGGGGGGGTCCGGGGCCTGTTGAAATCACTGTTTGTACCCAGTACGCATTAGAGCTTCCCTGAATTCAGCTTCACCCACTCCGATACACACTTTCTGATGGCCTAACTTCGGTTATATTGCTTATTGCATCCTTTGACTTGTCACTTCAGCTGCCAAGGCTAGGCCAATTCTCAACCAACTAATGGTGACGTATTCTTCAACAGGAAACTCATACCCAGAAGCAATAATACGTTATCCATCGTATTTCTCATCTTCTGCTGCTGCTGCCATCCCCCAGCTCGGGATGGAAGCAATGAGGGTTCTCGTCTACATGAACGACGTTCTTGGAAACCTCTCAGCTGCTCAGTTTTCCGTTCCTGAGAGACTCGAGCACTTCTTCGAGGCAGTTTTTGCCACCAAAGCCTGGACGGTAGAATCTCTGCAGACCTGCGACCGCACGTGCTCTCTGAGGTCTGAAGGGGAAGCTGGGGTCTTCATTACTTTAAGTGGTGGGTAATTGTAGACTCGACTGCGCGTCCAGGACCTGGAAGAGTATCTGCATGAAATGCATTCCTTCCCAATAGGCTCTTCTATGCTCTTCTGTGCATAAGGTATTTGCTAGCTCGAGCTTTTCGTCCTGATTTGGTATGCCATGTTTGCCGCAGAAACTGTTTCAAAACCATATACATTTCCTGCAACTGCAGAAGAGACATTGGCAGCTGGGGTGTTCGGCTGGCTACTGCCAACATTTCCTCCACTTCCATGTCAAGAGCCTAATAGGAAAGTAGTCCCCGTTATTCTGCCTGTCCCACCCCCTACTTTGCCGCCTGTTCCGGAACCTTCAAAAGAAAAGGAACCTGAAAAAGAGCCTGAGGTAGGGCCCCCTCCACCACCGCCACCGCCGCCAACACCTCCAAAAACGACTACTGTGCCTCCACCAGAACAAAAACCTGAACCCACTGAGGTCACAGGCGGCAGAGTCATACCAATACCTGCTGAGCGCATATCTATCAAGAAGGTTCACAAGAAAATNAGGTCACAGGCGGCAGAGTCATACCAATACCTGCTGAGCGCATATCTATCAAGAAGGTTCACAAGAAAATTGACGTAGTCAAAACAGAGAACAAGAATGCTGAAGAACCGGAAGAAATGATCACAGTTATTCCGCCGAAGCCGGAAGTATCTCCAAAGCTGGAAAAGTCGGAAGATGGTAAAGGCTTGCAGATTTAGCAAACACCCCTTCAGTTAATGGAAAGGCAGTTGCTGCAGAGAATCAGAATTTTCAGTACTCCCCACTGTATTAGGACTGGGAATGACCTACAGGGATAATATGCGTTTTGGGAATTGCCTGCTCCTACAGCCTGTATGCAAGTTGTACGTCTCTACGAGAAGTATATTGAGGGCTCCGCAATCAAGGACGTTCTCACGCTCTACGAATCCGCGATGAAAGTGCCGTTGTTTGCGTCAACGCGGTCAGAACTTGGATTGAAAGAAGATGAAACTTCACTGCAAAAGTTTCGCCTAACCTTATGTGTGATGTGTGGTGAGACTTCTCTCTGGTTGTGTTTTTGCTTTATTGGGTGGGGAACTAAGCACTACAGTTCGTTGGTTGGGTTCCTAGCAAATCATGAACCCTGCTCGTCGGTGCTTCTAACGATCTTTGTGCCTGCAGCTAAGCACATACCCGCCTTGCAGCTAGCAACAGGGGAGG